CTAAGTTAAAGAGAGAGTAAAGGAGTAAGAAAATGGTGAATCCGATAATCCTTGGTACATGTAGAAAAATAACTAAATGCATGCTGAATGCAAGTATGTAACTCCAGCGATGCTTCATCTATGATGCTTCTCCGCCCTTTAGAAACATCCATCATCTGATTGTGGCAGCAATCCCCAAATTCGTCTGGAAAATCTGTACCTTAATTTCAGCAAATAAATACTGATCCTCGCCTTTACATTGCACATTGTAGATGCGCCCTCGATGTTGTTTCAGCTCGCCTGAAAATTGTGGAAGAATTGTGTATGTTTTGACCAGTGGGTTCTTTCATCTCTAGTACTGGAGGCCCTAGCTGCCATGGAGGTGAAGAGTAACGGCATCAAGAAGGATGGAAAGGAAGGAGAAGCTCTGCAAGAGGGACAGAGCATCGTCAAGAAGCAGGTTGTCACCATGGCGATGGAGGTCTTTGACTGCCCTGTCTGCTCCACTCCCTTCAGGCCTCCCATTTTTCAGGTAAATGCGCTTCGTGGATGTACATATCACCGGTACCTTGATCTGCAATTCATGCTTTTTCGGGAATCAGCTATTCATGCTTTAAGTTTCAATGGATACATGAGTCTCATGAAAAAATTTGTTTTGCTTCCTTCAGTGCTCCAAGGGGGATTTCATCTGCTCGGCTTGCCATGACAAGCTCCCAGAAAGCGAACGCACTGCTTCTCAGCGCTGCTATGGCATGGAACGCGTTGTGAACAACATTTTCGTCCCCTGCAAGTATGGATGCAGCTGGAACATCACCTACTACCAGAAGGAAGGGCACGAGAGGAGGTGCCTGAAATGGCCGTGCATCTACCCGGTGTCTGACTGTGACTTTTTGGCCCCACGCGCGGAGCTCCTTGACCATCTCACCCGCCTGCATGAGTATCCAACAAAAAACATCAAATATTTTGTGCCGTTCGAAATCCCAGTCCAACCAGGCTCTTCCTGTTTGACATGGCACCGCCGGAGTCCCTCGGCCATGCAGTCTCCTTCGTTTGTGTCCAGCGGCCAGATGCTCCAGGACCCACCATCGGTTGCTCTGTGTGTTTCTCGTGCTTCAACGGCCATCACCAGGTCTCATCGTTGAACATCGAGAGCCCGTCACAGCCAATACCACGCTTCTGTGTTGTGCCCAAGGTTCCTGATGATGCCATGCTCAACGTCACCATTGATTTGGACTACTATGAGGAGGAGCACGAGCTGGCAGAGGAGGATAGCGACAAGGACTATGATGAGCATGAGGATGAGGACGAGGAGGATGACGATGACAGTGACGAGGAAAAGAAGGTGGGCGACAAGGATGATGCGGCTGATGATTGCGGTGGTGATTGACACGGCATTCAGTCGTACTTTTGGTGTGTTGCTGTTTGCATGATGTAGTTTCTGCTTTTGCTCATGCATGCATGAGATGAACTACTATGTGCATCATATACTCTATAGTATACTAGTTGGTATGCACTCAAATTCAACTGGTACTCTTAACATGTCTGTCTGTTTCTGTCTTCATTCCTGATACTACTGCAACTTGGTATTGTCGAAGAATATAGAGCATGAACTGAATTGGGTGCGACTTGTTTGCTTACTTCATTAGGTGCCTGAAGCTTGGGATGCTTGATTTGATATTTCATCTCTGCTCACCTTTGCCGTAGAAAGCGACCACACCGCCTTGCACATCCATCTATGCTATGGTTTGCAGTGCAGCGCGTCGTCGACAACATTTTTGTTCCCTTTCTTGAGTTTGTCTGATTGCGTTCCTCCAGGGAGAAATGCTAAGAACTAGTTGTTGTAGTTCAGATCAGTAATATAGTCATGTAAACACTTTTATATTTCTCTATAGTGGGAGTAGTTTAGTAGTGCAATTGTATAAAAATGTCTACCATTCACAGGTTAATAGATGCACAGGTCTACCGGACAGTGAAACAAAAGGATGATATTCTTCTGCACCAATTTGAGTTAACTACTAGAAAACAGGGCTACCGTTCGGCCCTGGCCAGCCCATTAGTCCCGGTTCTTCAAGAACCGGGACCAATGGGGGTATTAGACCCGGTTCGTGAGCCCAGGGGGCCGGCCGGGGCCTCGTGTGCATTGGTCCCGGTTCGTGTGGAACCATTTGTCCCGGTTCAAGCCACGAACCGAGACCAATGGTCCTCGTGAGCATGAAGAGTTATTATATATCAGTGGGTGAAATGAACATAGCAGTAGCGTTGGTAAACCAAGAACGAAGATAAGAGAGGACACTTCTCTCTATTAGCTAGCTAATAACAACCTAAATTAACCCCCAAAACCCCTAAACCAGCCACTTTCAAAGGAAAAAAACCTCAGCTGCAGCCAGCTTCTGACGCGTGGATGCCTTTTGGTCCCGGTTTATGTCACCAACCGGGACCAAAGGCCCCCCTGCCTGGGCTGCCCGCAGCGGCCACGTGGATGCCCATATGTCCCGGTTCGTGTAAGAACCGAGACTAAAGGGGGGAGGCATTAGTAACGACCTATTAGTCCCGGTTCAAGAACCGGGACTAAAGGCCCTTACGAACCGGGACAAAAGCCCTGATTTCTACTAGTGGTTGGTGCTCAAGGGTACACTCCATGCATTCCAGGCACTCCATATATACTCAGTTCCAACGTCTGTGTTTCGAATAACG